GTTACCGTGAAGGGATTCAATTTATACTGTGATAGGAATTTGAGGTCATACTGCCCAGCCCTACTGCAATTCTATGTTCATTCTTTTCAAACCTTTGACATATTTTAATTGGTTTAATGTTTAATGGACAAAAATTTAGTTGTATTAGTCGGGGGATAGTCTCTGCCTCAAGTGGAGGAGTTTAAGTATCTGGGTGTCTTGTTCACGAGTGATGGTAGGATGGAGTGGGAGTTGGATCGACAGATTGGGGCCTCGTATTCAGTAATGAGGGCATTGCTTCGGTCAGTTGTGGTGAAGAAAGAACTGAGTCGAAAGGCAAATCTCTCGGTTTACTGGTCTGTCTTGGTTCCTACCCTCACCTATGGTCATGAGGTGTGGATCTTGACCGAAAGAAGAACGAGATCCCAGATACAAGCAGCCAAAATGAGCTTCCTTCATGGGGTGGCCAGGCTCAGCCTTAGAGAGAGGGTGAGGAGCTCCGTCTGAGTAGAGCCGCTGCTCCTCCACATCGAAAGGAGTCAGTTGAGGCGGTTTGGGCATCTGGTTAGGATGCCTCCTGGACGCCTCCCTTTAGAGGTGTTCCAGGCACGTCCCACAGGGAGGAGGCCCCAGGGAAGACCCAGAACTCGCTGGAGGGATTATCTTCTTTGGCCTGGAAACATCTCGGGGTCGTCCAGGATGGGCTGGAAAGTGTCGCTGAGGAGAGGGGTGTCTGGGTTTCTCTCCTGGACCTGTTGCCTCTGTGACCCAACTACGGATAAGCAGAAGATGATGGAGATGGATATAGTTGTATTAGTCATTATAAAAAATATTATATACTTCCCATTTTCAATTTGAGCACCTGGCATATACAACAATATTTACAGTTGAAAAACACACTTTTCAAGAAAATAATGACCAAACCAGTCCTGAGATCATGCACATCCAGGCTGATGAACACAGACTTTTGAAGAGTCAGATATTTGAGGGGTTTTACCGTTTTATGGTAAAACTAAATTGACTGAGCAAACATCTTTATCTACTGGAAGAGTGGTGGAATCAGGGGAGGACTGGGGAGAAAAAGTGACCTGGGAGTTCATGATAGACTGGCCCACTTTCAACTCTCAGGTTTAAGTCACTGAGACTCGAACATGATTTTGTTCAAAATAATTACATTTACAAAATGAGCATTTGTTTGAGACCTACAGAATGTACCAGTGAAGTTAAAGTGCATGTCTTTGGTCTGCAAGACAAATCTGGAGAACCAGGGAAAACCCCATTCATGCAGAGGAGAAGATGTAAACACCCCCAGAAAGGTCCCAGGTTGGGATTTGATCCAGCAACCATTTTGCTGAGAAACAACAGCTCTACCAACTGTGTTAACGTTTCAAATTTGTTTCTGCTGAGCTATCATTCTGTAGTGTTTAGAAGTGCACTCCATGGCCGTCTGCGCTCTGAGAAGATCAGCTGACTGGAGGCGTGTTAGTAGAGGCATTGTGGCACCGCAAAACAAGCGCACACTGCAGTGACTACAGGGTAGAGCACAGCTTTCTAATATCTCACCTGCACTTTTCACAAGCTCAGAAAATTTTAAACAAACAATTTGAACTACTGTTTACTTTTATGTTTCAAGAAACAGTGGAAAACAGATTTAACAAAAAATGAAGTGGTTGTTGGTAACAATTATGCAATACCATTATTGGCTCATACACTATGGTCAGTAATCATTACAGTTCAAATATTTCAATCTAGAGAAATTCTTGCCATTTGCTTTATAATTTTTCCTCCTCATCTTGAATCAAACTGACTCCAAAAGTTATCATGGACATCCAATGACTACTTTCTTAGAGTTTCATTAAAGTCTATTCATTGGTTCATGAGATATTTTGCTAATAGAAGCAGCTTTTATCAAATGTCCAAATGCAGCTTTCATTAAAGTTTCAGCAAAAAGAAAATATATTTGGAAATGCTGACAGCTGTTATCACGAGTTTATGGCTAAATATCTAAAATGACAGAGTTGTAGCCATTTCCTGGGATCCTGGGAGCTAAGCCAGCAGGGACAATAGACTTTTTACCAAGTGACGTCATCACGCATGCGCACACGCATTTTTAGAGCCTCAGCCGGAAGCCGGGGGAAGCTGCCAATTGAGTTTTAATAAAGTATTTTTGAATTGAATTTGAATTGAATTTGAGTTGAGTGTTTACATTACTTCCAATGATAGCGATGGGGAAAAGTGACTTTTGTAGTGTGTATAATTGCTCGAGGCAATGTGACTGAGTAAAAGACAGCGGAGAACCTTGTTCTTTTTACCGAATTCCTCTAGGAAAATCGAGCAAAGCTGCTAAAAGAAGAACGCTGTGGCTCAATGCACTTTACCGCCAGGACTTCACTCCGACAAAAACAGTAAAGTGTGTAATCGGCTTTTTTTTCTGGCATGGCAATTAATTATCTGAACTCTGTGGATTACATTCCTACATTATATCTTGGAAATGCAAAACAGACAAAAGAGAGAAAAACCTCCCACAGCAAAAGAGCATGCTACTGGACATATGAGAAGCTAGCTAGTGCAACAAGTCAGAACAAAAAAACTGGAACTGCTGGGCCTCGCAGTACCAAAGGCCACTGCATTTACTGAAGTTTCAACCTACCACATGCTAGGAGATTCTTCTTGCAACCAACCAGATGAAATAACGTGAGCTAAATGTCATCAAATACATGCAGCTCTGTCAAAATAAAGAGGCCAGAGCACAGTTATTCTGTATTTGGTGAGAATAAATTCCACCAAAATGATTTCTGAATGCTTCCTGGGTTAAAACAGTATTGTTGTTTCTAAAAGTATATGAAGGTGTTTACTTGCATAATTTGAGGTTTGACAGCACTGCATCTTTATCATTTTGGCCATTTTTCATTTTCTGAAAGTAAATACTACTTTTTTGCTTATGATTTGTGAGACATGCTGTAAGTTCATAGAATAAAAGGAACATGTTAATTTTTCTCCAACATATACCTATAGAGTAAAATCAGATAAAATTATTGTCTTGCAGTGGTCTCTTTATTTTTTCCTGTGTGAGTGTGTGTGTGTTTCCATCCATGAATATGTGTCTATTAAACATACAGTCTATCAATACTTATGACAGTGTTGTGCAGTGTCAAACATGAAATTATATATATA